CATGAGAGCAGATGTTGAAATGTTTCCTTCCACCCAAACCCCGGGCTCCTGCAGGAACGCATGACCAGGAGCTCCTGTCTACATGGGGGAGACCTAAAAAAACCAAAGAACTCCCCCAAATGGCCCAAGCCATCACCTTAACTATCATCTTCAGCTAAAGACAAAAGGAGACATCGGGGGAGGGAGGAGCCCTACGGGAGGTGACCGGGAAGAGCACCGTAACCGAGAGCGCGGTTGTGATGCAGATGTAAGTCCTTGCCTTCTCCACTGGTGGGCTTCTAGGGATGCACTCACCTTGCTTTTCCTGGTACAGGGAGGGAAGCAGCTTCACAATGGAGATTTCCCTTATGAATGTAAATGTTCCTTCCAAAAGGGTAGCCAAAGGGGCACGTTCTGGGTGACACATTCTGCTTGCCTTCCCCTGCTTAGCCTCTAGAGCAGTGCTCTGCAGCCTGTAAGTTGCACACACATCGCCTGGCAGCTCCTCGGGGTTCAAGTTCTGAATTAGCAGGTCTGCACTGGGTCCCAAGGGTTTGTCTTTCTAACAAGCTTCCTGCTGCTGGTCCCCAAACCACACTTTGAGTATAGCAAGTGTGTCAAAGCTCTCTTCTTCACGGGCAGGGGCATATCTGCAGACACCAGTAGACCTCTAATATTTTTTGCTTCCTTTTGTGGTGGGGTTCAGGAATATGCTGGGGGTCATTGGAGAGTATTATGCTAAGCGAAATAAGCCAGTCAGAGAAAGGCAAGTGTCACACGATCTTACTCATATGTGGAATCTGATGAACAAAATAAACTGATGAACAAAATAGATCCAGAGACACTGAAGCATGGAACAGGCTGATCAATCTCTGAAGGAAGGGGGTGGGGCGGGGGGAGATTAACCAAAGAACTTATATGCATATATGCATCACCCATGGACACAGACAATAGTGTGGGGAAGGCCTGCGGGGTGAGGAAGGCAGGTGCAGGGTAAAGGGGGTCAATGTTGAGGGAAGGGAGACAGCTATATACTTTCAACAATGAAGATAATTTTTTTTTTTTTAAATATATCTTTATTGATTTCAGAGAGAGAAATAGAGAGGGAGAGAGAGAGACAGAAACATCAATAATGAGAGAGTCATTGATCGAACCCGCAACCCGGGCATGTGCCCTGACCGAGAATTGAACCTCGATCGCCTCCATCCTAGGTAGACGCTCAACTGCTGAGCCACGCTCGGCCGGGCTGAAGATAAATTTTTAAAAAATGAAAAATAAATATGATGGGGGTCACATTTCCAAGGGACCGCTGACTCATGAGACACACAGGCTATAGTGACACTGCAGCCTCAGTGGCCCCTAGAGCCACCAGGTCAGCCCACTGCCTCCATCCAGTCTTGTTTTGCAACTTTTCTTTGGGATTCAGTGTAACTTAAAAATATGTATTCAATTCTGAAAAGATTTGGAGCTTAAAAGGACGTAAGTCATCATTNACCCGCAACCCGGGCATGTGCCCTGACCGAGAATCGAACCCTGATCGCCTCGATCCTAGGTAGACGCTCAACTGCTGAGCCACGCTCGGCCGGGCTGAAGATAAATTTTTAAAAAATGAAAAATAAATACGATGGGGGTCACATTTCCAAGGGACGGCTGACTCATGAGACACACAGGCTATAGTGACACTGAAGCCTCAGTGGCCCCTAGAGCCACCAGGTCAGCCCACTGCCTCCATCCAGTCTTGTTTTGCAACTTTTCTTTGGGATTCAGTGTAACTTAAAAATATGTATTCAATTCTGAAAAGATTTGGAGCTTAAAAGGACGTAAGTCATCATTGCAGGGAGGATGGGCCAAACTCTTCTTGGTCAGCCTCAGCTTTACAGTCAACAAGTATTTATTAAGGACTCTAAGAACGCAGCATTACACAAAACAAACAAACAAACAACAATCCGGCCTCATAGAGCTTACATTTATTATTATTTCACTTAATCTTTATAACCAGCCTGCCAGGAAAATGTTACCTCTGTTTTATAGAGAAGGAATGAAGACAGGGATTTCCAGTAAGTTGCTTGAGGTCACACAGCTGGTGAGTGGTTCATTCAGAGTCCAGTTTTCCTCATGCTAAAGCCACTCCCTCACCACTAACCCAGGGGTTTGCAGACCGTGCTCTGTGTCGGGGTTCCACGGAGGTTTCTCAGAGGCTGTCATGGATGGAGGGTTGTCACGCTTAGGGACCAAGGGGAAGGTTTTTCCTATGAACCCGAGAAAGGCCTGTGATGAGCTCAGAGAGAGATCTGAGGAGACCTCCAGGTCATGAATGAGGGACAACCAGCTCTCAGGGTGACCCTGTAGTGGAGAGAAGCCCCCGAAGACAGACGGTGCTAGAGACCAGAGGCCCCAGGATACCTATGCTCTCCATATGCTTGGGGTCTCACACTAACAACATCTCTAGGAATTGGGGAGAGGTACCTCAAAATGCAAAAGGAGCTATAAGAAAATAAAGAGTCTTGCATTTTTAAGAACTATGTCTGAGTTTCTGTAGGAGATTCATATCACACACACACTTCAAAGAAAAATGACATAACCCAGCCGGGTGTGGCTCAGAGATTGAGCATCAACCTAGGATCCAGGCGATCGGGGTTCAATTCCCGGTCAGGGCACATGCCCCGGTTGCGGGCTTGGTCCCCAGTAGGGGGTGTGCAGGAGGCAGCCGATCAATGACTCTCATCATTGATGTTTCTCTCTCTCTCTCTCTCCCTCTCCCCTCCTCTCTCTGAAATCAATAAAGACATATTTTTTTAAAAAAGAAAAATGACACAAAAAATCTAAGCTGGGATTTTCCCTGGGTGATAAGGACATTTTTTCAATGTCCTGCTCTATATTTTCCTGGGTTTTCACATGTTCCTCAATGAGTATTTCATAAACAAAGAAAAAACTAGCAAAGGAAAGGTTTTGTTTTCTTTTTAGGAGACAAAAAGTCAGCCGTTCCTGGTACTGGATTATTGGAGTAAATCTCATAAATCCATGTTGCCAGAAATGCTCATTTTTCCATTTTCAGTCTGAGAACTGAACGCTTGGTGTTCCCACCAACATTTCCCAAGCAAGGGGAGGAGTCCTTGGCAGGGATAAATAAGCATTAGCACCCACAAGAATCCAGCGCTCTGGGCAGGAGGCAGCTTGGCATCCACTAACTACACCCGGCTCTCCGAGACAGGTAATCCAAGTTGCTGAGCATACAGGAGCAAAGAAATCCACTTGCCCAGGGTTATTCCAGGTCTTGGCCTGGAGCCATGGACGGTGTGGCAGGAGGGAGGCAGGAGGAGGTGTGCCAGAGTGCAGGGGGCCAGGCCTGGTGCCCTCTGAAGACAGTCCCCTGTCTGGGTCTGAGTTTTACACCTGCAAAGGGGTGGACGGGCCATGAGGGGTCTGGAGTCATTTCTGGCCCTGACACTTGGATTCTGCTTTGAGTCAGCTGGGCATCCCATAGAGCTGTGTATCCACCCTCAGGATGAGAGCTCTCTGAGGGGCAGGAGGGGCCTCCCCTTGCCTGGTACAGGGGGCTGCCCTGAGAGGTGGTGCAGACAGAATGACTGCCTTGGGTCCCTCTGGGCAGAGGCCACAGGGACTCATTGGGGGTCATCCCTGGGCACCAGCAGACAAGCCGGCTGCTGTCCAGCAACCTAAAATACAGGCTGCTCAGCAACAGAGCTGGCTGCCAACTTGCCCAGACAAGCCTTTTTTTGTCCAGAAGTAATTTTTGGGGAAAAACAAGTTTAACTCTTTTCCAAAGAAATGGTTACATAAGCCAGGGAGTGAGCAGTTGAGGTGACTGAACTGCCTCTGTCCCTGGGCTTGTCCAAATTCTGCCACCTTCAGGATGGTAATCAGCTCAGCCCCGTGTCCTGTCCTCTCCCCTCCTCTTCCCTCTCCACCACCCAAGCTGCCCTTTGCCCTCTGAACCCTGGGCCTGAGTGGGCAGAGGCTAAATGTAATAACCCTGTTTGCTGCAGTCAGTGGCCTTGAACGCTGTGTCTTTCTGGTTTCCCTCTGGCTTGTAGCTTCAGAGTGGGGACCTGTGGCAGAAGCCAACGTCCCTAGAACACCTGTGAGGAGCCAGGCACTTTCATCATTCGTCTCACCTGAGCTCCTCAACTTGCTCATTGACATGAGAATTGAGGCTCAGAGAGGTTCAGTCACTTACTTGTCACCACCCAGCAATCACAAGGGGCCAAAATGAAATCCTAGTCCAGGATTCTGGGACTTTGGATCCCACACTGTTCTCTCCCCACCAGGAGCCCTTTCCAGGCATGTGGTAGAAAAGGTGGAAATACCTGTTTGTTGTGAACCTGGTAGAGGCCGAAAAGAACATTCTGCCTTTTTTAGTCTTTGCACCAACCCTTATCAGGGCCATCAGGCTATAGCTCTGCTTCCCCTGCTTTCTCTGAATGAGCCCTTACTGCCACCGGCACCACGCAGAGAACACCTGCCATGTGTCATCGAAGGCCAGGAGCAGGGCTGTGGTCTCTGACTCTGCCCAGGGCTCCCTCCTGGGGTTCAACTTGGGCGGTGGACAAGGGATATACACCAAACCAGTTCATGCTTCCTAGGCCCCTCTTGCTGGTGTCTGCTCACCAAACACGAGGAGGACCTGTTCTGAATGGCCACTGCCTTACCCCCATCACTAGCTGCCCCACCTAGGAGCCAGGCAAACCGAGCTTTCACCTCCACTCTGCTACTTCCTTGCTGTGTGACCTTGGGCAAGCCCATTTACCTCTCTGTGCCCAGTTTCTCCACTGGGGGAAAATGGCAACAATTTCAGTGCTTACCTCAAAGTGTGAGAGGGAGCAGAGCATAATTACATATGTTGGGTGCCCAGGAGACTGCCGACCCCTGGGAGTCACAAAGCTAGCAGAGGGAGAGAACAGAAAATAGGCCATGTGGGGGGCAGTGGGAGGTGGTCAGGGCACCATTGGGCTCTCCGAGACTTAAAGGAGCTTTGCTTTTCAGAGTTGAGGGCAGAAGGAATGTCATTTCTCCTGGTTGTGGGGCTCCTGGTGGCTGGGCTCTGCCCCACTGTCCACAGCCTCCCAGATGGGATTCTTGACCAGCAGAACATGACCCAAGAGGACCATCACAATGAGGCGCCTGTGGACAACCTCAGACTAGCCTCCAGCAACACCAACTTTGCCTTCAGCCTCTACAAGCAGTTGGCTTTGAAGAATCCCAATAAGAATGTCATCTTTTCCCCGATGAGCATCTCCATCGCCTTGGCCTTCCTGTCCCTGGGGGCCAGGGACACCACCCGGACCGAGATCCTCAAAGGCCTCAAGTTCAACCTCAAGGAGATCTCAGAGATGGAAATCCACCAGGGCTTCCAGCACCTCCTGCGAACCCTCAGCCAACCCAGCAGCCAGCTGCAGCTGAGTGTGGGCAATGCCATGTTCGCCAATGAGCAGCTGAAGCTATGGGACCAGTTCAGGAATGATGCCAAGGCACTGTACGCCTCTGAGGCTTTCTCCACCAACTTCCAGAATTCCACCGCTGCCAAGAAGCTCATCAACGACTATGTGAGGGAGAAAACCCAGGGGAAAATTGTGGATCTGATCAGCCACCTTGACTCAAGCACCGCGATGGTCCTGGTGAATTACATCTTCTTTAAAGGTGAGGCAGGCGTGGGCTTCGGAAGGAAGCAGACTTTATTAAGTAGCCCTCAGGGCTATTGCTCTCCTGGCCCAGCCACCTGTGTTATTAGAGAAACTGCTATAGAGGAGGGTGCCCTGGGCTTGTGGGGTGGTGTGGAGAGGGGACATGGG